AAAAAAAAAGGGGAAAGGTAGGTTAAAAAATTTGAAATTTGGTGGTATACCTAATTGTGAAGCATAAGAATGGCCAATTCTCAACACCATAACCAAGTTATCACCAAAACTCAAACAAAAATATTAACACCCCCAAGCTTATTCAAAGCAAAATCATGAACATATGTACAAAAAGCGTAGACACGCTTCCCCCAAGCTTAAATGGAGCATTGTCCTCAATGCTCTAAACTAGGGAAATCATAACTACAACAAAATAATTTAGTGCTTTTTTTTTTGTGTTTTTTTTTGTTTTTTGCTTTGTCCTCGCCTCTTTTGACTATGGACGGCTTTTTAAACTTTACATTTGCTTTTATTCACAAACTTATACACAATACATAATTGCTATACAAAATGAGCTCATAACTCAAACTATTGCACTTATAATCACCAAACAAACTCATCACCACTAGCTTCACAAAAACAAAAGGTGAAAAGAATGAAACAAATGGTATGAAGTCTAATAATATGGCTAGAAAAGAAGGTATAAGGCTCAAATGGCTAGCAAGGAGGCAAATGTAAACCCAAAACCAAAAATATAGAAACGAAACTTAGAAAAGCGAAAATAACCACCCTGAAAAGATGCCTTCGTCCTTCCTAAATGGTTCGGTCGCGATCTCGGAAGATAAAGGACAAGTTCTAAATAAAGTAAGCGATAGTCAAGGATCCATGTGCCACTCATGCAAAATAGGTAGAAAGCTAGAGAAATGAAACCTCACATAGTTGTAGCAAAAACTCACTATTGGCTTCAAATTCACTATAGGAAGCAACTCCTTCTTACCACAAACAAGTAGACTAGGGCTTCAAGGTCCCAAAGTTCTTAACATACTACCTTAGCATACTCTATCCTAAAATCAACCCAAGATATCTCAAAGCGTGTAAACCACTACTATTTAGGAAGAAAAGCATTCAAGAACACACATCCAAAAGTATTATGTCCAAATCAAGAATAAAACAAAACACATTGAAAAATATAAGAAAACACATGGAAATGCATATACTCAAGTGCATGGCAAAAATGGACCACCATTCTACCCAAGCATGATAGAATACCCTCCCCCAAGCTTGAATGAGACAATACACTCAAATCATAAATCATAGAGTCCATGGGGAGGGGAAAAGAAAGGAAACAAACCAACACATGTCAACCAACCAAGCCACAAAAAGTTAGAGAGAGGGAAAAAGAAAGATATTACCGGATTTGAGAAGAAATTGCAAAAGCATTCAAAAAGACTAGAAATAACTATATATGAGCCACAATCTCCAAAATTGCGTCTTGAAATCGACATGCTAAGAAAGAAGGGGTAGATCTTCCTTGATTCTTGACCCTAGCAAATGCATAAGAGTATATCATGTTGTGTACCTAGCAAGAAACACAAACACGTCCATGAGACAAAAACTATACAAAAAGAAAAGAAAAAGAAAGCAATAAAACACGGGTTACTTCACGAGAAAGGCTTGTTTAACGTCCAAGCAAGACCGCTCTAGGAAATAATAATTCAACGATCTCAAGAGCTTGTCAAATGCACTACTAAACATTTCATAGAATAAACGGTAGGCAAATGACGGGAGGAGGACGTGCAACAAGATTATTGCACGCAAATGAGGAGGGAGATGCCAAAAGAAAGAAGAAAAATCAAGAAAATAAGAAGAAGAAGAAGAAGAAGAAGAAGAAGATGAAAAAGAAGAAAAAGGCAAAACCTCCTCAAAATCTTTTTGGGTGGCAAAATCACCATTTTCCTCAATAATCGATGAGAGAGGGGCTTGAATATCACCAAGAGAAGGAGGGTCCCAAATAGGCTCTGTGACAAAAGAAGGGAGGGACATAGGATAGTAGGGGATATGGTTAAATCTTCTTGGAAAAGGGACATGAGAAAAAGGGAATAGGAGCAATGGTCTCACCTATGAACTCTCCCTCACCACCATTCCTCAAATCACTGATAACAGCATAGAAGTCAATCATAGAGCCCTTAAAAGAAGAACACTCATGATCTCCATCTCCCTCAAACCTCCATCCTCCAAGAGAAACCACATCTTCTTCTCTATCACAATGATGAACAATAACTTCCTCAACATCTTCAAAGCCTAGAGTCTCAAAATCATGCATGAAAGGATGAAGGTTTCTCTCAAACGCATCCCTTTCCCATGAAGCATTGCCAATGAACTCTCTCAAAAGGCTATGATTTTTCGTTACACCTTCAATGAACACACTAGTCATAACCTCAAAGGAGTCCAAATACTCATAGATCGAAGGGTTGCAAACATGCGAGGTAGAATCATCAAGATGGGGAAGGGGGTTGGAATCCACAAAATCAACATTTTCTTCATTCTCAACTCCTCCACCATCATCCAAGGGACTCTCGATCTCTCTTGGTTGCTCAAATTCATCCTCATCCTCCTCATGAATTCCCTCATCCAAAATTGAAAATGGCTCACTCACATCCTCACCAAGGGTAGCTCTCAAAAGGGGTGAATAAGGGGAAGGAAGGCGCTCAAGCTCAATAGGGGAATGAAAAGGATCAAAATCCTCAAAAATCCTCTCATCACAAGAAAATCTCCCCTCATCTTTACATCCTTGGCCCATATCAACCTCAAAAGCACTCTCCCACTCCAAGTGAGGTGCCTCGCATCTATTTCCAACAACCCTAGCACTCATCACTTGGGCAAGTCTCACTTCCCTCAACTTTTGTTCCTCTTGAAGCTCTTGGACTTGTTGGGTGAGATATTGCATTTAGGCAAGAATTTGGGCATCAATGTTATTGGGTTGAGGTTCATGATCAAAATCAAATTGCATATCATCAAAATTAGCACAAACCTCATCACAATAAGCATATAAGGGGGAGGGGTCAATATGCATAATAGGTTCTTCATAAGGAGCATTAGACACATCAAGGGAGTTCATGCAAAAATTAGAAGGATTTTCAATATTTGCATCAAGACTAGAAACATGAGAATCCCTATCACAAGTATCCCTAGCAAACCAAACAAAGAAATTCCAAGCATCATTCAAGGACAAAGCACAAAATTCACCATTAAACATACTTTCAACCACACCCCTAGTATACTCATTCATACCCCAATAAGCTATACCACAAGCATCACAAAGAGAACAACCATGGAAGCTAAGGAAACCCTCAAGTCTTTCAAAGTAAGCATAGAAGGGTTCATCATCAAATTGAGGAAAAGATAAGCATGCCATTTTTTTTTTACAAAATAAACAAAAGCAAACAAAAATAAAACTATACACAAGAACCTAACTAATCTAATCAACACAAACTAATAAACATCTTAGTCCCCGGCAACGGCGCCAAAAATTTGATCGGTGGACAATAGGTCGTTGGTCTACTATCCTAGATCAAATGTACAATTTATATTCCTAACCTAACTCTATCAAGTTCACACTAGATAGTGGCAAGCTAGGGTCAAACCACAAGGACTAAGTGTATTAATTTGAGCTAATTAAACTAGTAGGAAGGTTGTGAGAAAGAGAGAGAAACAACTAAAACACTACTTAAAGCAATGAACAAGGTACTAGGGAAAGGGGAATCCAATTATGTTAATCAATTCAATAACAAGTTGCAATAGATGATCATTATCTCAATTAGGAACGAATAACACACTCAACTCACTCTCGCGCAATTAAGCATGCTAATTATCCTACTAAGCTAACTCACTCCCGTGCAAATAGCCTAGCAAAGGTATGGAAGAATCTATACTCTCAATCAACTCACTTCCGCACAATTGATTGCAAGCACAATGATGAACCTAGAATCAATTAGCTTAAAAGATTCTAGTAAACGTAAGCATCATCCAAACACAATAATCAAGAATCAATTGCATACTAATCACAACCAATCACTCAATCCATCAACCTAACCTTCATCCATTTCCCTAGAACAAAAACTAAGCAAACATAATGAAGATGAACATGGAAAACAAGATAAAACTAGAATTAAAGAAAGAATCAAACAACCAAACTAATTAACTACTCTAATCAACAATGACTTAAACCAAAACAAGAATTAAACAAAGCAATAAAGGTGAGAGAAAGTTAGAAAAGCTCATTGAATAGATGAGAAGAGGATCCACAAAGTTGCTTCTTCAACCTCCCAAATCTCCATTGAAATCCAAGCTTTCTCTCTCTAAAACTACTCCTAAACTAGAGAGAGAAAATCCTAATCTAACCCTAATCCTAATTAGAGGAGAGAGGAAAATGTAAAACTCCCTCTTAAGAAATCTAGGAAGTCTTCTATTTATATTACAAGAAAATAAAGAAGGAAATCCGGAATTAAAGCTCGAAAAAAACCCAGAATGCCGCGCCCGCGGGTCTAGTAGTCGCGCCCGCGGGCCTATGAGTCGCGCCCGCGGCAAGGCATCTCCAGAGAGTTGCAAATCCGGGAAAACAGAGTGCCGCGCCCGCGGCAGAAATGGCCGCGCCCGCGGCACCACTGTCCGCGCCCGCGGGTGTTATGGCCGCGCCCGCGGAGGCTGCGTAGCTTGGCAGTATCTTGCAGATTCAAACGGCCATAACTTCTGTTCTAGAAAGCCTCTTGGGGTGTGCGACCTACCGTTGGAAAGCTCTTCAAGTCTAGTTTCCAACGCAATTTGAATCGCTACAATCCAATGTGTAGATCAAAAGTTATGGCTAAAAGTGTGAACAAGATTTGGTTTAAGGCCTTCTACGAGCTTCAAGCTTTCTTGTCTCAAGCTTCTTCCTTAGCTTCAAGCTTCTTCTATTGAACTTTCTTTCCTTTTCTCGGGTCATAAGCATCGAACAAAACTTCAAGCACCTACACAAATAGACCAAGAGAGAAAAGAGTGAAAGAACACATAGAAAAACATGCAAATCAAGCTAGAAACCGAGGAAAAAGCATATTATTCACAACTAAGGCCTAAAACCATAAACTAAGACAAATATAACTAAAAAAAGAGTAAAAGGAATAGAAATAACAAAGAAACACCGAAATAAACCTAAAACTAAGGGAGAAAAACGCCCTAATATGTGTCATAAATGACACTTATCAAGAACCATTGACAATAACAGAGAAGGAAACCGTGCTAACACAGTTCATAATAGTTTTCACCATCAAAGTTGGAAGGCCAAACTTAACTAAAACTTTCTCAAGAAAGTCCCATTTGATTCTATCGTAGGCCTTACTCATGTCTGTTTTAATTGCTAGTTTCCCTCTAACACCCTTCTTTGTTTTCCTAATGTTTTCCAGTAACTCGTGAGCAAGTTAGTGATACATTTTGAAATTCACCAACTAAGCCATTGATCACATTTCGAAGCCAGGAATAAAGGCATTTTGAAATTCACCAACTAAGCCATTGATCACATTTCGAAGCCTGTTAGTGATACATTTTGCTATGATTTTATACACAACATTGCAAAGCCTAATTGGCCGTAACTTGTTCATAGAGTCGGGGTTATCACATTTAGGAATCAAGGCTATGTTCGTGCTGTTCAATTCTCTTAAGATGTTACCTGAGTTAAGGGAGGATAACGCTGCATCTGTTATATCGTCCTGCAACCAACTCCAATTTTTTTGATAAAACCCAGTAGGAACACCGTCCGGACCAGGAGCCTTCCATGGCTTCATAGAGAAAAGTGCATTCCGAATCTCTCTTCTAGTGTATGGCTGAGCAAGCCTATCCTTTTGATCTTCGGTCAGCGATTTAGATAACCCCCGTATTCCTTGATCAATTTATGAATTTCTTGAGTCGTCAGCAGCCGGACTGTTGCATTCATAAATCTCCTTGAAATAAGAGGTAGCTACTTGTGCAATTTCTTCTTCAGAGGTAAGCCATTCCCCCTGATCATTAACTATTGCCGTCAATTTATTCCTAGCTCTTCTCCCTTTTACAAAATTGAAAAAATACCTTGTGCAAGCATCACCTGCCTCATTCCAATTTATTTTGGCTCTTTGTCTCCAATAGATGGCCATATTTTGAGAGTACTCTTCCAAATTCTTGCTTACTCGTCTAAATTCAGAATCATCTCCTTCACTTTCAATTAGGAGCTATGCTTCAAGAATATCCTTCTCTAATTTATCCCATTCACCATTCCACTCCTCCCTCTTATTTAGAGTCCATTTTTTTTATTTCATTTTTTGCCTTCTGGGTTTTTTTAACGAGCCTAAACATGGGCGAACCATTTAGATTTTCGTTATGTTAATTTGGTATTTATGAAGCAATTTTTTCTCTTTGGTAATACTCGTATAAAGTTCATTGGGCAACGATGCATAAATTGTGTTGCAATTAATTGTTAGGTGTCATCATGTTGATGCAGTGACCTCCTATGTGAGTGTAATCACAAACAAAGCACTATAATTGTCTAACGATTTATTGGTCCTCATAGGATTATCCTTTGTAAGAATAGTTAAGTTGTATTATGATTGGTCTTTTTCTATATTTGGTTGCCATGTCAGTAGGAGTTATGATGATAATGTTTCACTTAACAATGGTTATGCCCAGATGTAATTATGATCCTGAGGTGTGATAGATGCTTACTGCTTCATAAGTGTGCTATGAGGTGAGATAGTGGTAAGAAGTTGGTTAAAAGGGAGGAGGGAGCCTTTGCCCTTGTTTAGTTAAAAATTATGATTAAGGTCACTTTTTCAGTTCTTAATTGCAGTACTAATGAGGCTAAGCCAATAAAGTCATATAGAAGCCCTCATTAGTGCAATCCATAACAGTACTATGGCCATCTTCTTATAAAGCTGATTAGTGCAATCCATGTTTTTTTTTAATACAGAGTATACATGCTTTTAAATGACAACCTGATGCTAACCCATATCATTTGCAAATCTTTGTGTTGGAGAATTTGAGATCTATGCATTTTATTCTTTGATTTGATTCTACATGGTCTTCTATCTTACTGAAAATGTTAAGGTTTAAGATTGATCTTTCATGTTAATTTGTTGCTTCTGTTGTTTCTTGCATTTTGTTGTTTCGAATTATGAATTCAATTGTTTGTTTGTTCATTTAGTTACTGCTGTAGGAAGTTTCACCTTGTTACATGAAGCTGTTTTTGTTAGGTACACCATACATAGACCACGATTTGGTGACCATCTTGACGCAATCAAGTTCATCTGTAAGGACTTATGGCTTCTTCAAGAAATAGATAGACAATCTGAAGAAAAATCATAGAGTGAGCTCCTGCCAACTACTAAATTGTTTTATGGTTTTATATTATTGTTTGAAGATTTATTGTCTCACAAGATTATTCATGTTATGTTTGGTTAGGTTACATTTATGCTGCAACATAATCGATTCCGTTGGCTATTGTTTCGATGTTTTTTGTGTCACTTCGGAGAGTTACGACTCAAAGACTTAATTCGCCAAGGTCGCCTGTACCTACAAAACAAACGGAGCTCCGAATGGCCAGAGGTCCGCCTCCAAAGATTAAGTTAATAAGAAATCGGAGTAAAACGTGCGGAAAGTAAGGTATCTGCTCGGATTCCAAGCTTAGGTGTTCTCTGTTTTATAGAGCAATAAAGGCCTGAATGATTAAGACCTAAAGTTCGAGGTGTCAAATGACTGTCCCAATAATTGGGGGAACCTCCCTTTTTATAGGTTCTTAGGAAAACGTGCCCTACCCTAGGGTTTGATGACCTAGGCATTAGGGCAGCGCCATTTTGCGGCGCCCTTGAAGGCCGCCATTTCCAAAGGGGAAATATCTGAGTGACACGTGTCACGCATCTCGAGGGTCCATTTGGACGCCTCCTAGAGGGACACGTGTCGCTCTCTCATTGGTCCACTTAGGGGTATTAATTACCCCAAAACTTTTGTCCCTTCACAGGAGTCACGTGGCATGCTACGTGGCGCCTGTGACAAGTGTCGGCCTTTGATTGGCCAAGAAGTTACTTTTTACTGTTCACTTGAATCTAGGGCTTTATCCCAGACCTTTTACCCCTCCTTTAAATAGGAGGGTTGACCTCCCTTGGATTCACACTTGTGTGAATCTTTGGGAGAATCTTGATTCTTTGACTTTCAAAGAATTTGACTTATACAGCATCCAACACTAGGCCAGCTCGTCCGCCTGTTCTAGCAAACGTTCCAGACTAAGCGCACCTCTAATACCTTCTTCTAAGGTAATAGCCTGATCTTTTCTTTTACTTAATTTTTTGTATTTTTCTTTTTCAAAAATTGTTTCCCAAACGCACGTGGCACAGCTTAGATTAGCGATCAACCGGTAACCGGGGACGGCTGAATCTAGAACTAGGAGTGCCGAATGCTCATTCGAGAACTACCCTTTGAGTGCATCTCCAAATCCGACATTGTCTGACCCCTATAGGACACGATGGCTAGAACAAAGCAAACGACTCGAAGATATATGACGCATGGTTCTTGTTACCATTCGGAAAGCAAGACGATCTACTAAGATGGCTCCATTAGGGCGCCTGTCTCCGAGGTTAGCAAAGACCCTCCAGGAAATCCTCGTACCCATTGTGACTCATTTTTAGGAGAGTCAGATGATGAACAAACCCCTAACCCAAGTAAATCGGTGACGGATGCTGAGATAGGGGAGGACACTGCTGGCACCAGCCGGCAGGCCCCCAGAGGAAAGTTCTGATGATGTCATCATCTTCTGACAGCTTCTCCGTCGGCTCAGAGGAGGCGCAGTCCAACGTTGAAACTGCCCGAGAATCCCTCTCCGTAGAGAAGGGAGAGGGCTGGGAAGAGTCGTTTGCTTCACGGCGACAGGAACGTGCTCCTTATTACTTGCTCGTTGCCAAAAGCAGGCGGGACAAGATGACTGAAAACTTCAAAAAGTTTATTTCCACTCTTGTCATGGAACATGGCTATCTACTGTCCATGCCGGATGCTGGGAACACGGTCACCTGGCCACAAATGGCCAGCTATGGTGACTAGTGCTTCGAATGCTATGAGGCGTCCATCTAGGTAGGACTCCGCTTCCCTCTTCATCCGACAATGTAGAAGATTTAAGACGAATACAAACTGGATATCCGACAACTAGCCCCCAATTCTTGGGTTAACATACTGGGCTACGTTGCCGCCTGAGAGATGCTGGAGGTGGAGCCCAGCTTCAAGGCGTTTGCTCATATGCACTACCTGAGCAAGACTCCGCACGCAAGTGGGACAAGCTGGTTCACTCTCACCAGCCACAAACGTTATATGATGGCTTTGGGGAAGTAGAACAAATGGAAGGACTGAAGGTCCAAGTTTTACAACGTCTCTTCCTTAGACTTCTTAAGGAACAAGCGGTACAACCGCTGGAACGACGAGTCGCCCCACCTGGCTCGGAAGAAAGAAAGACCTGCCGCCTGTACCTAGGCGGGCGCAGGAGGAGATTTTTTATCGAGGCCTGTTTTATATGGTCGTCCGATTAAACAAGGAGATGGGGGTCAAGGAGGTAACCCCCTAAAGTTACATTCCCCGATTCGAGTGGCTCTCGGACGGGACATATTTGTCCGCTTTTGGCCTTAGTAATGAGAAGCCGAGAGGTAGCTGGCCGCTTGAATTTACTTGCTTTGCTACCCATATTGATTTTTAAATGTCTAAGTTTCTAACTCTTGTTGTTTTGTGCAGACATAGCAATGTCAAAACTTTTTGGTTACAACTATCTCTACTGCCTTCTATCATTTGAACCTCAAACGAAGTGAAGAGCAACCGCCAGGTGGCACTCCTTAGGTAACGATTTATTTCACTTAGAATTTTCCAATAGATTTCAACTTGTTGGGATTTTCCATAAGGTCTTACATGAAAACTCTTCTTGCAGGGTGGCTCATCAAGGCCTATTCCCACCCTACAGCCGGATCCCAAGCTAGGGAAGCAGACGACTGGCGATATCTCTAAGAGCCATAAAAACACATCACCCACAAGCTGAAGAAGGGAATGGGCGCCTCCTCCCCCATCCATACTCCATCCAAGCCGGACACTCAGCAAAAAGCGTCGAAGAGTGGCAAGCCACTCAATATTGCTTTCAACTCAGCAGACAACATCGATTGTAACACCCCAATAATTCTCTCTTAAAAACATGTGAATACCCTGAACAAATCCAAGAGAATTATTGGCGTGCTACCGCTACGTGTTCAAACATTAAGGCTTTTTCAGAAAATAGCAGCAGAAAAATTAAAAAAAATATATAAGTTCCAAAACTAATAACCAAAACCAAATTAAATCTTACAACTTGGAACCCTTAAGGCCCTTATTCAAAACTGAAACCAATAGAAGTAGTATGAAAGCAAAGTTGAGTTTAAATAACTTTAAATGTAAATAAGAAAAGTAACCAACTCTCCACTCAAGATCCCACCATCTAGAAACATATGCTGCATGTGTAAGAACCTGTGGTTAATCTGCTCCTCAATATTATAAGTGTAAAAATTGGATCGTCACAGGGTCATTGAAAGACGAATGCCATGACCAAAGAAAGACACACACAAAAGCACGCAATCGGCAAAGCTAAGTACATACAAGTTGCGAAACAAATTAAGAAAACACCTAACATGCTACTAATAATCAAGCATAAGCGTCATTAAATACAGACTCAACACATGACTCAATTATCAAATTTATTAAGACCTCACTAGTTGATATTAACTAACTCATTTATTTATTTCATTGGATTTAGCAATAGATAAGGTTGTCCAACCCATGTCCCATTTGGAACATCAATAAAAGAAAACCCCATGCCTCCTTTTGGAAACATTAATAAACATCCAACGACCATGGGCGCGACTTCGTGACCGTAGTTAGTATGAGATCTCACCTAACTCCTAGTTTTAAAAAAAATAATATTTGAAATAGGAGACTCGTAGATCAGACGGCCTCGATAAAAGTACACGGCTAATACCCCATGTACCCAACCCCTGATTGTCATTACTCCAGATGTGCACCAATCCAGAGTTTTATTGCTCATCCATCTTGCACTTTACGTGATTTGCAGGTTTAGACTTGGTGATGACTCATATGCATTACAATACAAACATTCCAAATACAATTCAATCAAACAAGGAAAATTTCCAATTTAAAATTCTTGATTTATTAGTGACAAACAACATTTATTATTTATTCCTTTCTACCTCGGTGTGTAAACACCTTGAGTGCATAAGGCACCCCAAAACCTTAACTTCGTCTTATAAGACTTGAATTCTTCCTTTACTCATCCTGTTTGCATAATCATGAATGAGAAATAAATTAATCTTTACACCAATCACATACCTTTGCCTCTAAACGCACCTTGCATAATTAGAGAACAAATAATACTTGCAATATAAAATAGTGCACATCATTTGAAATTCACAATGTATAACCAAACCATTTAACCTAGTCAATCCTATACATAATACTAAGTTCTCGATCCGTCCTTAAACATGCACCTACAAGCAAGGTTTCGTAACTTGTACGTACCTTGTGTAAACAATCCGATTGGCCACTTTAAAACTAGAAGTCGCCTTCTACAAAGTCCTCTCCTAATCCAAACAATGAGAAATAAATCAATACCCAAGCAAATAAATTTAAAGCAATACTAAACTACTTTAAAACCTCTTAAATCATCAAAATAAAGCCTTTAAATTGTCCCCAATAGTCAAAGTTAATAATATAACATCCCAACTATAAGTTTATATGTTAAAATTATAAAAGTATAGTGTATAACAAGAAATTCCAGCAGCTTTAAAGTAAGTAAATAAATCTGAAAATTTTGTTTAAATATATAAAATAACCCCATAAGCATAATTACTTGAAATAATCATTATATATCAAGTTAGTGTGTTTAAAACCCGAAAATATGTCAATTCAATGTAATTAGAGGCTTAAAAAAAAGTATGAAATCTGAAAATTCGTACTTGAAGTTGTAATTTAAAGTTCAAAGCTTTTTAATCATAAAATATCCACAATAATTATTTTATAGGCTTAGAAGCATAAAAACATGAAATTAATACATATTGCTCATAAAAATCAAAACTTTAATAATCTGAAAATTTATATACAATGAAAATAATCATACTTTGATTTAATTTAAACATAGAATAAATAGATAACTTGATTAGTACGTTATCAAACCCTAAAACATGAAAATTCATGGTTTAAACCCTAAATTATACAACATATATAATCTGAAACTTTACTTAATAATTTAAACATGCTAAAACTCATAAATTTACAATCTTTTATAATTTAAACATAATATCAAACCATAATAAAATTAACTTAGAATTGAAATCAAATAAAAATTGAAGCTTTAAATCAAAATAACAAAATAAAAGAAGTGAGAACAAGGGAGGAAGAAGGAGTGTGAGCTGAGGGGGGTCGGCTGGTGCGTCGGTGGCCGGAGGTGCGACTGGCGGCGGTGGCTGCGGTTTCGGTGGTGCTGTGCAACTTCAAAGCTTTTTTTTTCTTGTGAAGTCATGAATAGCAGAGAAGGAGGAAGGTGGTGAATGAATTTTTTTTTTTACGTGAAACACAAAGGTGTGAGGGTTTTTGGGGTTTATATATTTTGTGGGCCTTGTCTTCAAAATCAAGTAGGAGTAGAAATTTGTATTTGGGCTTAGATGGAAGTTTTAGCTCTCTTTATTCATTTTTGGGTTACTAACACCATTGATAAAATATATTAGTGTATAGGAAAAGAAAATTTCAATTGGATTAATGCTTATTAATTTAACATAGTTCAAATAAATTTTGCATAAAATAATTTATTTCATGAAAACAAAATAAAATATTTATTTAAATAATACAGAATTATATAATAACTTATTATAAAAATTATGGGGGATTACAGTGATGCCGCAGGGGGAGAGGAAGGTAATACATCCGGCCATATTCTTCAATGATTAAAAATGCATATGTCTTTTCAAAGTTCTTACTTTGATTATTTTGCTTGTATTGACACATGCTCCTGCAAGGCCAACTGTCCTTTAGATGACTAAGCAAATGCTCAAGACGCTTGATCCTGAGGACAAGGCGTGTGTCAAAGGAGTCGGCACTTTTGACCTTGACGTCATATTGGCACTTCTCTGCGAAGTTAGACTTGTGTCTTTCGACTTGATTAATGATTTAACCGAAAGGTTTCTGATGTGTTCTTTTGTTTTGGCCGACTGCAGGCTATGCCGCGCGTGAATGGTCTTATAAAAACACTCAATGAAAAGACCAGAGAGGTAAAGGCAGCGAATGCTCGGGCCGCCTCTTACTTGGACAAAGCTCAGTTTGAGATTGCCGAAAATGAAGTTCTGACACTTGATATGTTGTATTCCCAAGTGTCGGCAAATCTGCAAGTCAAGCAGAACCTGGACGCAGCGAGGATGCGGGTCAAAGAGCTCCAAGATGAGGTCAAGGGCCTCAAGGACAAGATGGAGCCCCTCCAGGAGGTGCAAAAGAAGGCTGATGACCTCGAAGAGATGGTCAAGAGACACAGAGGGCGGCTACAAAACCAATAATCCCAGCTATTCGCTGCCTTTACCTCTCTGGTCTTGTCATTGAGTTGGGCATTGAACTCATCATTTGCCATATCAAACTGAACTTGCTAGACAATGCTCGGGCTACAGAACCAATAATCCCAGTTTGAGATTGCTCAGGAACAAATACAAGTCTTTGATGGATGAGGAAAAAACAGTCCCTAGTCAAACAAATGATAGATGATAAAGAAGCCATCATGCGTGCGGTTTGGGTGGCTGTGCAGCCGCCAGCCGACTATCAAACTTGGAAGGTTCAGTTTGATATGGCAAATGATGAGTTCAATGCCCAACTCTTAAAGGTGGCTGAGGAGTGATCGGGATAAGATAGGTTGTTAAGCTACCACCCTAACCAAATTAATCATTTATAATACCTAAACTTACACTAAACTAGTTAGTGGCAAGTAAAGGGTCGAACCCAAAAGGACTAAGTGTATCAATTTGTGCTAGCTAGACTAGTAGGAAAGCTTGTGAGATAGAGAGAGGTTCAACAAAACATAACTAAGAACAAATAACTAAAACTAGGGAAAGTGGAATCCAATTACATCAATACATTCAATAACATCATACAATTAGATGAAAATGACCTTGATTAGGAACAATAAACACATTTAACTCACTCTCGCACAATTAAGCATGTTAATTATCCTACTAAAGTAATTCACTCTCGTGCAACTAGCCTAGCAAAGGTATGGAAGAAATTAGGGCTCTCAACCAACTCACTCTCGCACAATTACTTCCCTTAGGAACCCTTTGTCATGAAATCTTAACGTTGAAGCATGCCTTGTCACATCGCTCATCACTCATAACCATCATTGCATTACGAAGTATGAAGTGCTTAGCCTCCGTGCCTAAGTTACCCAAATGCTTTCATCATTGAGTCAACAGTTGAGATAGCCTAGGATGGATTAATCCTTGAACCTTAAGAGATAGTATCAAATGACATTTGACTAAGCTCATTCAACATGCCCCTTCAAACACTTCGATTCTTTTTTCGCGTCTTTAATTTTCGGGAGAAAGTCGGCACCCTCCACAAAAATGACGGAAATTTTTTGCATTTTCGAGTCGCATAGTCAATACAATGCACACACGGGTCATGAGTCACACGTGTCATTTCACTTTGAGTCGAGTCAACCTCGAGTCAATCATAGAGAGTCAAGTTTATACCTTGAGTCGTGTCAAGTCAATGAGTCAAGCAACATTGAACCTTAGGTCAACCCTAAGATAATTAAAAAGATTAGCAAAGTTCTATAGTAAAAAATAAATACAGGTGCAGCAGAATAGGGAAGACCCTATCACAGCGTTCGGCGACAGAGTCAATTCTTGGCGCCAGAGATATTTCAGCAGCGATAGAGCTCGAAGCCTCTTAGAAAGGTGATTTCGATCGCGTACGGCAATTTCGGGTTCCTTGGTACGCCAGTTAGCCCCTATAGGCAACTTGACATGATTAAGTAGTCAGTTTGATTACAATCACAATAAGTGATCGACCTGATGAAAGATCGTCTCACTTAGCTTGAAACGCCTAAGAATTGGCTCATCACGGAAACACCGACATACTGGTTTTAGCGGAAGCAAAGTTCAGGAGAGCTTTAGAGATCGACAAACGTTGGTCTTCAGAAATTTTTCTTTAGAATATTATCGCAACAAACGTTCAAGTACCGAAGCTCTATTGTTCAGAGACGCGTGAACATTTCCATCAAAGCTCTTTGCTCCAGAGACGTGTGGGCATATTATTCAAGCTCTTTTGTTCAGAGACGCGTGGACAATCCTTTTCAAGATCTATTGTTCAGAGACGCGGGGACATTTCATTCAAGCTCTATTGACCAGAGACGCGAGGGCATATCAATCAAGCTCTTTTGTTCAGAGACGCGTGAACATTTCCATCAAGCTCTTTTGCTCCAAAGACGCGAGGGCATATCATTCAAAAGCTCTTTTGTTCGGAGACGCGTGGACATATCATCAAAGATCTCCTATTTTCAAACTCTTTCTCTCAAAGACGCGTGGGCATCCTATTATCAAGCTCTTTGTTCGGAGACGCGTGAACATATCAAAAAAGAAGCTCTTTGTTCAGAGACGAGTGAACATCGAAACAACAAGGTGGCGTTCCCTAGATTGTGGAGAGTTGTTACAAACAACTGAC